AGGGCACATGCGCTCGCCAGACAGACAGAGAGAGACAGAGAGACAGAAAGGGAGAAATCACCCCCCAGGGAGGATGACCACACCGCAATCCCTTCTCCTCTCAGGATCTTGGGCACATACGCGCACACGCCTGGCATGGGTTTAAGTCACCAGGTCCGGGACTCGAACTGCAGTCGACTATATAGGAGTTTAGTGACATAGCCATTACACTAAATGCTGGTCCCTTTTTTTAAAGAGGTTTTTGCCTTAGGGTGTATGATCTTACCTGGGAGAGAGAGACAGGGAGAGGGAAAGTAATAAATCACCCCTCCCCCCCCGGTGGAGGGATGGCCACACTGCAATCCTTTCTCCTCCATTCTTCTTCTGGGGTCTTGGGCAGGCGCACGTGCGCGCACACACACACACATGCCTAGTGTGATTTTTCAAACCACTGGGTCTGGGACTTGAACCGAGGTCCACCATGTGGGGGTCCAGTGATGTAACTGCCATGTCATCTGCTGGCCCCACTCAAATTATTTCTAAATAGAAAATAAAAAGCACGTGCAGTTAAAATTAACTTTTTTCCCCAAGGTTTTAGTGATAGGGTGCATGTGCTCACTGGAGAGAGACAGAGAGACGGGGGAGTGTGAGAATGACAACCAGAAGGAGAACAGACTCACGGCTCTAGTTTCCCCGTTTATTGGGAAATATGTTGACTACAGTAGTGGACAAAATTGGTCCCTGCCGTTATTTCCCTTTTTTCTAATTTTAATTTCTTACGTTAAATATGCACGTGATGCACCTGCACAGTAATACCGCTTCCTGCCCTAAGTGTGGAGTGTCCTGAAACACGGTAAGGTGTCTGTGAAGTACGTCACATTTTAGACTAGGTTGAGTACAGTGCAACATGTTTTGTTTGTGTTTGACGTTGGGACAGGTTACTGGGTCAGAAGACGGGTTTGAGCCCCGACAATCCATTTCTGGATCCCTGCCTGCCCGTGGGCCTCACAGACGTGGTGGAGAGGAACGGCCAGGTCCTGCACGTGCGAGGAAAAGGACAGTGGGCCACTTGCGGGGCGATGCTGAGCCCCCTGCTGGCCCGCTCCAACACCAGCCAGGCCTCGCTGAACGGCATCTACCAGTCGCCGATCGACTTCAACAACAGTGAATTCTACGGCTTCTCGGAGTTCTTTTACTGCACAGAGGACGTGCTGCGCATCGGTGGCCGCTACCACGGGCCGACGTTTGCTAAGGCTGCTCAGGTAGGTCGTTCGTAGTACACGTAGGGGCCGGTAGGTGGGGTGGAGGCTGGGGTGCTGGATCCCACGTGGCTGACTTTGCCGGCTTGCGGATCACACCAGGTGCACGTGAGGAAGGGGACTCCGAAGATAAAGAGCCCACTGTGCCACACTGCCTTCTAAGTAATTCAGCCTAGGTCCCGTGGGTGTCGTATCACCTGTTGCCACCCAGGTGAAAAGTGGCCTTGGCAGACCTGGTTTTCCTTCTGACTTTGCAATAGTCTTGTTTAATGTTTGTGGCCACAGAAGTGGCATCTCCAGGTATTTCCCCTTTGCTGGGGTATTCTCAGTGGTAGCGTGTTTCGGGAAATTACAAGACACGGGAACAAGTACACTTCTCTTCTCTTGGTTTAAACTTTGAAGAGGTCAAAATAGGGGCCAATAGGTGGCATGGCATTTAAGGTGCTGGACCCTCACATGGCTTACCATGGTTCGAGTCCCAGGACTGGGTGGCTTGAAAATCACATCAGGGCTCTGTGTGTGTGTGTGTGTGTGTGTGTGTGTGTACCCAAAAATCCCAGGAGGAGAATGAAGGAAAGGGGATTATGACATGGCATACCCCTGTGGGGTGATTTCTCACTTTCCTTCTCACTGACTCTCTGGCGAGCACATGTACCCTATGGCAAAAACCTAAAAACAAATAGAGGCCACAGTGGTGTAAGTCGCTGTAAGTCACTCAGAATATTAGAAAGATGTGAAAAGCAATGGTGATGAAAGTATTGTTTAGGGGCCAGCAGGTGGTGTGGTGGTTGAGGACGCTAGGCTCCCACACAGCTGACTGTGGTTCGAGTCCTGGACCTGGTGGCTTTCTTTCTCACTTTCCTTCTCTCTCTGTCCTTCTCTGGTCAAATTAAAACAAATAAATAAAGTCAATCTCTCTCACACACTGTCCCTTTCTAGACAAGTTAAAATAAATAAAGTTAAATAAAATAAATTAAAAACATAAATTTAAGATGTAGGAGGCGAAAAATCACTTTTAATATATTTCGGACTCACACATATTATAGATTTATCGAGACAGATAAAGGTTTAGTCGTCTTTCTATAGTTCCCTGCTTTATTTATTTATTTATTTATTTTTTGAGAGTTTTTTTTGCTATAGGGCACGTGCGTTCGCCAGACAGACAGAGAGAGACATAGAGACAGAAAGCGAGAAATCACCCCCCAGGGGGGATGGTCACGCCGCAATCCCTCCTCCTCCATTCTCCTTTTGGGATCTTGGGCATGCACGCACACGCGCCCGGCGTGAGTTTTAAGCCACCGGGTCCGAGACACGAACCACGGTCGACTACGTGGGAGTCCAGCGACATAGCCATTACGCTAACTGCTGGTTCCCAGTTCCCTGCTTTAATTTGGAATCATCTCTGAATTTTTGTATATCTCTCTGATTTGCCTTTTTATTTTTTATTTTTTGGGGGAGAGGTTTTTGCGATAGGGCACGTGCCCTCGCCTGAAAGACAGAGACAGGGAGACAGAAAGTGAGAAATCACCCCCCCCAGAGGGGATGGCCACGCTGCAATCCTTTCTCCATTCTCCTCTCGGGATCTTGGGCATGCACATGCACCCGGTGTGTGTTTAAGCCACTGGGTCCGAGACTTGGAACTGCGGTCGACTACATGAGAGTCAAGTGACATAGCCATTACGCCTACTGCTGGTCCCTTTTTTTTTTTTTTTTTTTTTCAATTTTTAAGACAGTGTTGCCTTGTCATGATCCACCTGCCTCAGCCTGCCAGCCGAGCCTTCAGGTGCACACCACCATACCCAGCTTTCTCACCCTCTTTTTTAATGATCTCAGGTGTGCATGCATGAGAGAGCGAGAAAGCACCCTAACTGGGCCTCCCTCGCCAGTTTCCTTTCTCGGCCCTCCTGTTTCTCACGGTTGTCGTGGGCATCCACGTGCACGCCCAGTGTTTTTCAGGGCAACCTGTGCTCTGACCCATGGTCATCATGTGGCTTCCTGTGCTGCAGGGCACAAGTATTACCCCTGCACCACTTTGACTGGGCCCCAGCTCTGTCTCAGAAAGTCTTGCCTCAGCCTCCCTGAACCACTGGGCTTCCAGGAACACACCACTGCAGCCAGCTTTTAGTTTGCACCAGGAATCGAACCTGGGCCTCCCATGTGGCCCACAGCCTCTTAGCAGTGCACATCACTGTGGTTGGACATCTCTGATTTATTTTTCATTAGAGAAACTTAAGGGAGCTGGCTGTATGTCCTGGTGTTAAGGTAGCCAGGTCCCATATGGCCAACCATGTGGTTGAGTCCTGGACCCGGTGGCTAGAGAAACACACCAGGTGTGTTTGTGCGTGTACCCAGAACCCTGAAAGGCAGGAGAGGCGAGAGAGGAGGGATTGTGGCATGAGCCTTCCTCATGGGGGTGCTTTCTCCTTTCCGCCTTTATCTCTGGTGAGCGCATGTATCTCTAGGGAAAAATGAAACTTACGGGAAGACTCTGACCTTGTGTGTTTTTATTCTTTTCCACTCAGCTTTCTTGTAGTTTTCTGAGTCCTCTTGGTAGAAGGCTTCCTGTAGAGTAGTATCTGGTGTCTACTATTCTGTCCCCAAAGGCAGACCTGAAGAAACAGTGTCGCTCACCTGGCTGGTATCTGCCCTTACCCGCTGGCCTCCAGGAGTACCCTCAGAGTCCCTTTCCTTTCCAGGGCCCACGGTGTCCTAACTGGACTTCCAAGGCCCGAATCTTACCCCAGGCGTTACTGCTTTCTCAAGCTTAAAATGTTTCCCCATAAAACACATGATTCTGTTCCCTTTTTCTCCCTCTGATTCAAATATTGGCTTCCCACTGCCACTTCTCTGGGCCACCCTCTCCTAAATGACGTCCCTCCCCATATTACGCCCTCTCCTGCTTTAATATCTCATTTCCTCTAACACAGCCCACGCATGTCAGCATATGTACGTGTGTGTGTCCGTGTGTGCATGTATGTCTTTGTTTATTGTCCATCTCCTCCCACTGGAATTCAGACTTCAGGAGGATAGGAATTTTGTTTGATTCACTTCTTGATCCCCTGGCGCCTAAAACAGCACCTGGTACACAGTAGGACTGAGCAGACCAAGGAGCGATACTGATGGTGAGAAGTGCGGCATGAAGACAGCCGGCGAGGGCTTCAGATCACCCTCTTCCATCTGCCTCCCTGCTCTGTCCGTCCTACGTAGAGTAGAATAGATCTGTCTTTGGCTTTTTAAAAGTTTACTCGTTTTTATTTTAGAATTTGCCATAGGGTGTGTGTACTTGCCAGAGGTAGAGAAAGAAAAAGTGAGAAAGCACCCCCATTGGGGGATGACTATGCCACAATCCCTCCTCTTCATTCTCTTCTTGAGATTTGGGGCACACACATGCATCCGATGTTTGTCAAGCTGCCAGGTCCGGGACTTGAACTGCACAGTTAGCTGTGCGGGATCGTCATTTTATAATTCTCTTTTTTTTCAGAAAGGTTTTTGCTATAGGGTGCATGTGCTTGCCAGAAAGACAGAGACAGCCAGAGAGACAGAAAGCGAGAAATCACCCCACAAGGGAATAGCCATGCCGCAATCCCTTCTCCTCCATTCTCCTCTCAGGATCTTGGGCACGCATGTACACGCGCCCAGCATGCGTTCAAGCCACCGGGTCCAGAACTTGAACCGCGGTCGACTACATGGGAGTCGAGTGACATAGCTATTACGTTAACTGCTGGTCCTTATAACTCTTTTTTTTACATAGCTATTACGTTAACTGCTGGTCCCTATAACTCTTTTTTTTTTTTCAAATATTATTTTATTTAACTTTATTTTTATTTATTTTTAAGTTTGAAAGGGAGAAAAAGTGAGAAAGCAAGCTGTCAGGTCTGGGCTCAAACCGCGGTCAACCATGTGGAAGTCCAGCGCCCTCAACCATCATGCCACCTGCTGGTCTATAAGGTTATTTATTTCTTGCACGAAAAAGAGAGAGGTACCCTCAACAGGATCCTTATGTCGCAATTCCCCCAGCCTCTGCCAGCCCGGATCACAGGCATGCATGTGCACTCAGCTGCACGGGAGGCCCTAGGACGTGAACTGGATGTCTTCCCACACGGTCCAGTTGTTACCACTGTGCCGCTGTCTGGTGGCGCAGAGAGAGCTCCGCCACGTCTTTAGCTTTCGATGGTATTCCTAGTGCTCTCACCCCTCGCTGAAGCCTGAGTGGCTCAGGAGCCGTGTCAGGCTGGCGTCCTTCTGGGCGTGGAGGCAGTGGGAATGCAGAGGGGTCGGGCAGTGTTCAGTGAATGAACTTGCTGTTTCTATTTTCCTTTGTCAGCTGGTAGCCACCGTAACTTTAGAAATGGAACAGCTGTGGCTGGGGGAGTGAGACCGTTTGCCTGCAATTTCATGTTGTGCTTCTCTGGGGTCGTTCCAGGATTACTGTGGTATGTCTTGGTCGGTGCTCAGCCAGAGATTCAAGAACGGCCTCTTTTCATCACATGCCGATGAGCATCGACTCAAGTAAGTGATTTCCTCCTCCTCAGGTGGGACCTTCAGATGCAGATGGCCGATTACAATGAAGGAGAGCCAGCGAGCAATGATAAAGTTTGGATTTGGATTTTATATCAAAGGAGAATTTTTTATTTCAGATTTTGATTTTGAGGGATGGGTCAAAATAGCTTTTTTTTGGGGGGGGGTCAAGTTTTTGCCACAGGGCACGTGTGTTCTCTAGAGAGAGACAGAGAGAAAGGGAAAGTGAGAAATCATCTTCCAAGGGGATGGTCATGCTGCAATCCCTTCTTCTTCACTCTCCTGGTATTCTGGACATGTACCTACCTGTACCCAGCGTGGTTTTCAAGCTGCCAGGTCCAGGACTCGAACTGCAGTTGTTCTGTGTCTTAACCACCCACCCGCTGATCCCGTGTACCATTTTTAGTAAAGCCAAGGAAAATCAGTGGTCACCAAATAGACTCCTCTCCAAGTAACTGGATATCAAAAGTGATGGTCTTCTTTTAAAAAAACTTTTTATTATAGATAGTATCAAACATGCAGAAAGCTAGGAAGAAGAGTAATATAAACTCTTTTTCTTAAAAGAATTATTTAATTTTATTTATTCATTCCTTTATTTTAATTTGACCAGAGAGAGAAAGCAAGCCACTGGGTCTGGGACTCAAACCATGGTCAGCCATGTGGGAGTGTCCAGTGCCTTAATCACCATGCCACTGCCAACTCCAGTAATATAAACTCTTATGTAACTCACCCAGTTTCAAGAAATATCACCATTTTGCTAGTTTGGTTCATCAGTCTTCCTATTTTGTAAAGGTTTTATTTTTAAAAATTTTCATAAACAAGAATAGAGTGGAATAAGGAACCCCTGTGTACCTATCTCTGGCTTCTGTCCTAGCAGTCCCAGCTCCTGACCAATCTTTTTTTTTTTTTTTAAAGTTTATTTCTTTCTTTCATGAGTGAAAGAGTCAGAGGGAAGAAAAGGAAAGAGAGAGAAACAGCTTCCCAACAAGGTCTCAGCACTGCAAGCCTCCCGTTTTCAGCTAGCTCTGACACAGGGACCCGCGTGCCCCTCTTACTCAGGAACGCTCCAGATGTGAACTTGGAGCCTGCCCGTGTGGGTCAGCTGTGAAGGACACTGCCCTACAGCTGCTCCGGGTCCAGCCCCAGCCAGTCTTGTTTTTTACTTACTTTCCCACCAGCACCCACCCCTCACCCAGTTGCGTTATTTTGAAGTGAATCTTGGACATCACATAGTTAAATCTGTAGATATTTCAGCATATTCTCTGACGATAGGGATTTAAAAAAGAAAGAAAAAGAAAAGACAGCCCCAATATCATTATTGCCTAAAGGTATATTCTTTGCTTTTGTGCTAAGTGTAAAGTAGGCTCAAATTTGGCTCCACCTAGAGGTGAAGAAGGTGAAGTGGGGAGAGGCAGAGTACCGAGTAGATTATTACAAAGGAAAGCAATAGAATTCGTTTTTCGTTTTGTTAAAAAATTTATTGAGGGGCTGGCAAGTGGTGTGGTGGGTAAAGCACTGGACTTCCACATGGCTAATTGCAGTTTGAGTCCCAGACAGGCAGCTTGCTCTTCCCACTTTCCTTCTCTCTGGTCAAATTAAAAAAAAAAAAATAGTAATGGTGATAAATAAAAATAAATTCATTTTTTAAAAAGGGTTAAGAAATTAATGAATTTTTTGTCATGCAGATACCAGTGTTTTAAATCCGCTTGGATGTACCAAGTCCTGCATGAAGGGTTCCACTTTCCCTATGACTACCCAAACCTGAGGACAGCCCAGCTGGTTTACGACCGAGAGGTTCAGTGGACACTGGGAGCCATCCTGTATAAAACACGATTCTTACCACTCAGGTAAAGCAAGTCTAACCAAGCTCAAAAATGTCAGTTGATGCCTTGGAATAGGTTTCTTAAGTGACTTCTTCCCTGCCCTTCAAAGCAAACTTCCATTACTTCCATGTGAGCCACTGTTATTAATCAGGCATGTTGAAACACGAAAGTTGAGAGCTACTATTTGAGTCTGTTCCTCAGCTTTGCTGTTTCAGAAACTCAGCTTTATTTGTTCATTCACAGTTCTATCTTTTTGTTTTTAATTATTTTTTATTTGACCTTATAATTTTTTAATTTGACCAGAGGCAGAGAGAGGGAGAGAAATGGTGAGAAAGCAAGCCACTGGGTCTGGGAATTATCATGGTTGGCCCTGTGGGAGTCCAGCATCTTAACTACCATGACACCTGCTGGCCCCACACAATTCAGTCCTTAGGACTGAGCTCTTACTGACCACACAAAATGGCATTCTTAGTTACTGTGGACAACAGGCTAGAGGACTAGGGTGGGCTGTCAGCCTAGAGCAATCTTTGCTAATGGGAAGAGTCACTCCAGAAATTGTCATTGACCTAGAAGACTTTTTAGTGTGCCAGAATTAGAACAAAGGAAATGGAGGGGTTTTTTTTTGTTTTTTTGAGAGGTTTTTGCTATAGGGTGCGTGCGCTTGCCAGACAGACAGAGAGACAGAAAGGGAGAAATCACCCCCGGGGGGATGGCCACGCCACAATCCCTTCTCCTCCATTCTCCTCTTGGGATCTTGGGCACGCACGCACACGCGCCCGGTGTAAGTTTTAAACCACCCAATCTGGGACGCAAACCGCGGTTGACTACGTGGGAGTCCAGCGACATAGCCATTACACAAACTGCTGGTCCCAGAAATAAGATGTTTTCAGGTGAGATATTTTCATCAAGCTGTGGTAGCCTGATGCTTTGCCCTTATAGATTGTAAGATATACTTTTGGGGACCAGCAGGTAGTATGGTGGTGAAGGCACTGGACTCCCATATGACTGTCCAAGACCCGGACCTGGCAGCTAGCTTTCTCACTTTCCCTCTCTCTCTGTCTCTCTGGTGAGCACTTGTGCCCTATAGCAAAATTAAACATAACAATAATAATGATACATAAATTTAAACAAGTAATTTT